TATTTGCTCATTAAAACTGTTTGGAGCCTAAAAAAGAGCAATACCTTCAAGATATCAGTTTTCTCACTGTCCTTTTCGTATTTCCAGATACTACACTAGCCCGGATTTGCAACAACACATTGCACCACAAAAATGTTCTCAAACTGTCAGCAATTCCTGAAATACAAGGAAGATGAATGGAGATACAGTGTATGAAAAGGAATGCAGTCTGATTAACGAAATTTTAATGACCACAGACAATGAACATAAAGGATACTGTTAGGGAAGAGAATGGTTGACCTTAAAAAAACAGCAATTAGATTATATGGAGATAACAAGATGAATTTGCCAGTCAATAAGGTTTTTTTACTTCATTCTTTCTTCCAATGTTGGATGTTCTTCTCTCTCATATAGCAATATGGTATTTGAAAATCATGGGCAGAGTACATAGATGCCACGAACATGGGCACTACTTATCTTATTTTCATTTAGTTAATTAATTGTAAGGGGATAAAACAAGGTTCTTGGTCCTGGGGAAGTAAATTAGTAAATTATTGGTTTCGGAAAACCCAAAAGGCTCGTGAATTCTCTGTTACCCTCTCTCACCAAACCCAAAAAGAAAAAAGAAAAGGTCAAAAAAAAAAAGAAAGATCAGTATGCTCCTATACCTTCTCTTTCTGTTTGAAGATTGAATCAATCTTCTTCATGTACTCATCAGTCACTTTCTGCAAATAAAGAATACAATAGTCAAGGTAGGAAGCAGTCTACAGTGAATAATGTATAGACTTTCCGGCTTATTCCAATGTAACAATTAGCACTAAAAATCAACTTAGTCTAGATTTGTGAAATCAACATCTAATCTATTTACCTGCAGATCACTAGAGAGATCCTTCACATTGTCTTCAGAGAGCTTTTTCTCCTGCAAGATACTACGATAAATTAATACAACACCGACATAGAAAGAAAGGAAATAGAGAATCTCAGACCTTTTCAAGTTTTTCGTAGGATTTAACAGTATCTCTTCTTATATTCCTCATAGCCACCTAAATGCATTGTGACCAAGTTGAGGTTATTTAAAGGGTACAATCAAAAATAGATAAATGTCTTTTTCCATACGGACAAATAGAGAATAAATGTCATTAATATATACAGAAAGCGAGCCTACAAGAACAGTCGAAAAAATACGCCAAGTACCCAAAAGATTTCAACATAAAAGTCATTTTTTGTCAAGAAAACGAAGCAATTAATGACACCAGCCACATATTTTTGTTGGTATGACATAACCAAGGAAGGAAAAAAAAGAATAAGTCGCCATTAGACACTCAAAATTATCCCTCTTGCACACCCATCGTGGGGGAGGTGGGACCAACCCCCTTTCAGGTAAATGTTTTTTGGAATCTATTGGGTCCAAAAATTTGAAGGAAAGAAGAACTCAAAGACCACACCAGAAAAAGAAATGCAGCAGATCTCCATTAATGAAATAGCTTTAACATCAAAACAAAGGCCAACTAGTACAATAGGACCTTCCCAAGAATCATACAAATTTGAAGAGCAAGTCATTTGAACCATATGTTGTGGATTTTGGATACCTTCCCTTCTTCAGCCTGTTTTGAGACAATTTTTGACAGCTCCTGAAATAAACAATAGAAGAAAATAAATATAACTATTACATCATATGTTATGGAAAAATACACATTGATGCATTATCTATTAAGGGCCCGTTTGCCATGACTATTACTTTTACTTTTACTTTTGCATCCGCTTCCTATAGAAGAGCTTTTGGAGGAAGTTACCTTAATTTTTATTTGGAAACTAATTTTTAAAAGCGATTCTTATTTCGAAAGTACTTTTAGAGAAAATCACATCAAACTAGCTCCTCTAAAAGCACTTAGAAGAAGCACTTTTATAAAATTAGCCAAACAAGTTCAAAAGTAGATTTTGGGTCTAAAATGCTCCTTTTGACTTTTCAAAAGTCATGCAAAATGGGCACTAAGATGTTTATAAGTGATTTAAAGATATTGTGAAAGAGCAAACTCTATAATCTACTTCAAGCAACTTCGGTACATGGGCACAACTGTAAACGCCATTATACCTAGAAATGAAATGTGCTCATTATGATCAAGCAGGTACAGTATGCATCAACCTGAGGACTCAACTGACAGTTGACTAGACTTAAATTGTACTGAAACTTCTATTTTACTAGAGTGGGTGTATCTCCTGGTGTTTGCAAAGGCACCAGTGATGCAAAGACACAGAGAAGGTAGGTACAGCTAACTCGTGAACAGCAAACTATTGCACGATAAAAGATTTGATGAAAAGCCTTGTGGGTAACAGTAAAATCAGCTACAAGGTCGTTCATGCAATGAAAAGCCAGTGAGATCCCTGAACAGGATTTTCATCATCATTTTGGCAGGTGTGTAGGGATTGTAAACCTGGATACAGAAGTAAAAGAAAAGGCAACGAGCTAAATGGAGTTTAAAATTTTTAATACCGACGAAACCTGTTCATGAAAGCTAGTCTTTGAATGCCATGTACAAGTGATGGGATCTGCATAACTCAAAGAGTAGAAGAACTTAAAACTAAAGTAATCTATTTCCTCTGTTAGCAAGAATAACTTCCCTACATACACGATCAATCAAACAAAGTGTTGCTACGTATTTATGAATCGAACGATATCATTAACACCCAGTTACTTCAAACAATTTTATTGGTGGACAGTATCAAAAGTAACCCAAAAACAAATAATGTAGATGGGATATAGAACAGATTTCACTAAACACTAGATCAAAAAGTACCTTCCTCCTCTCTGATGTCAGTTGAGGGAGGGTCAATCTAATAACTTCTCCATCATTATTTGGAGTCAAACCAAGGTCAGAGCTGACGATTGCCTTTTCTATAGCCTTCAAGCTGAAAATGATCGAAAACAAGATTGGACCACCAAATGATGTATAAATGTAACTAGATTCAAATAGCAAATGACAGAGATGCAACTTAAGAAATATCCAAACTAAAAAACATATAAACGATAGAAATGTGGTCATATAATTAATAGTTCTATCTCAATCTTTTATAATTTCATGTTTAGTTCTCAAAATTTGAGACATTTC